GGGGGGGGCCTGCCCGGGGGTGACGGGGGGGGGGGGGGGTCCCACGTGTCCCCAGTGAGGGCGTCCCCGAGCAGTGGGATCCCATGTGTCCTTGGCGGGGGGGCCCACAGGTCTCCAGCAGGGTGTCCCCAGGCAGTGAGGTCCAACATGTTCTGCAGGGAAGGTGTCCCCAGGGTGGGGATCCCCTGTGTCCCAGGGGGTCCCACGTGTCCCCAGGACAGGTGTCCCCAGCAAGCGGGTCTCGTGTGTCCCAGAGGGTCCCACATGTCCCCAGGAGAGGTGTCCCAGGGGTCCTGTGCACCCCAGGGCAGGTGTCCCCTGGAAGGGGGTCTCATGCATCCCCAGGGAAGAGGTCCTTTGTGTCCTGGGAGCTCCTGGGTGGCCCTGGGGTAGATGTCCCTGGGAAGGGCGACCCACATGTCCCCAGAGTCCCATGTGCCCTCAGGGTAGGCGTCCCGAAGAAGAGAGGTCCCTTGTGTCCTCAGGACGGGGGTCTCGTGTGGCCCCGGAGGAGATCTCGTGTCTCCTGGGAGGTCCCACATGTCTCCAGAGAGGTGGTCCCCAGGAAGGGGGTCCCGTGTGTCCTGGGAGGTCCAATGTGTCTCCAGAGAGGTGGTCCCCAGGAAGGGGATCCTGTGTGTCCTGGGAAGTCCCACGTGTTCCCGGCGTGGGGCTCCGGGTGCCCCTGCACCGCTGACGGCCCTGCCCCACCCAGGTGATGTTCTGCACCCTCAACACGCACAAGGTGGACATGGAGAAGCTGCTGGGGGGACAGATCGGCCTCGAGGACTTCATCTTCGCCCACACCAAGGGCCAACGCAAGGAGGTCGAGGTCTTCAAGTCCGAGGAGGCCTTGGGCCTCACCATCACCGACAATGGCGCCGGCTACGCCTTCATCAAGGTGCGGGGACGACTGTCCCACGTGTCACCCACCCCGGGCCAGCTCCCACTCTCCTGGAGAGCCTCAGGGTGAAAGGGTGACCTTGAGTATTCTGGAGGGGATGAGAAGGGACTGTCCTACTTGGAGATGCATAGGGACGCTTCAGGCGGTCCCTGAGGCACCTTGGGGGGGACGCCAGGACGTGGTCTGACTTTATGGGGGGACACAGGGACACCCCAGATGGTGCCCGAGCCACTCTGAGCGGGAAGTGTTGGGGGGATACGAGGCGCCACAAGGGTGGGGGGGGGAGCCACTCTGAGCGGGAAGTGGGGGGAGCATCCTGGGCCATCCCAGGAGGACGCAGGGACGTCCTAGACGGTCCCCAAGCCACCACGGGGCTGGGAGGACTTGGGGACATCCCATACTGCCTTAGAGGGACGTGAGAACACCCTGGACTGTCCGTAAGATGGTGTGGGGGTTGGGGAGACCTGCGGGTGTCCCAGACCATCCCAGAGGAACATGGGGACACCTCAGCCTGTCCTCAAGCCACTGCAGGCCTGGGGGTACCTGGGGATGTCCCACACCATCCTGAGGGGACTCAGGGCCACCCCAGCCTGTCCCCAAGGCGCTGCGGGCCTGGGGGTACCTGGGGATGTCCCACACCATCCTGAGGGGACTCAGGGCCACCCCAGCCTGTCCCCAGGGCACTGTGGGGGTTGAGAAGACGTAGGGACATCCTGGACCATCCTGGGGGGATGCCCTGCTTTGTCTCCCTAAGCTGCTATGGGAGCTGGGGGGATGTGGGGACATCTTGGACTGTCCCAGAGACGCATGGGGACACCCCAGTCTGTCCCCAAGCCACTGTGGGTTGGGGCAGCCTAGGGAGGTCCTGGATCATCCCAGGGGACATGGAGACACCCTAGCCTGTCCCCAAGCCCCCATGGGAGTTAGGGTGACCTGGAGATGTTCTGGACCATCCTGGGAGGACAAGGAAACACCCCAGCCTTGTCCTCAAGCCACTGTGGAGGTTGGGGGGACCCAGGGGCATCCTGGACCATCCCAGGGGGACACAGGGACACCTCAGGCTGTCCCCAAGCCATTCTGAGGTTGGGGGGACCTAGGGACAGCCAAAGGGGGGGACATGGAGACACCCTGGCCTGTGTCCAAGTTCCTATGAGGTTTAGGTTAACCCGGGGATGTCCCAGACCATCCTGGGGACACACAGGAACACCCTGGACTGTCTTGAAGCCACCATGGGGTTTAGGGGGACCTGCAGATGTCCTGGACCATCCTAGGGGGACATGGAGACACTTTGAACAAGCCCCGAAGAGCCCTAGATAGGTTAGGGGCGACCTGGGGGCATCCCAGCCCATCCCGAGAGGACACGGGGCCACCTCAGGCTGTCCCTCAGGCCACCGAGGTGGGGGGGACACCTGGGGATAGCCTGGACTTTGCTTTGCGGGTGGGGGAGGGAATGCAGCGCTGGGCGCCGAACAGCCCCAATCCCCTCCGGCATCCAGCTAATTCCTGCTAACGACCTTCCCGGCCTGGCCGCGTCCTGCCAGGGTGCTGGGCCTGCTCATGTCCCTCTTCCACCCTATCTCCATGTTCTTCTTCGTGTCCATATCTTCCTTCATCTCCGTGTGTTTTTTCATCTCCATGTTTTCTTTCGCGTCCATGGTCTCTTTCATTTCCATGTTCTGTTTCATCCTTGTGTTCTTCTTCATTCCCGTGTCCTTCATCTCTGTGTCCCCAAGGAAGGGGTGAGCCGAGATGCTGGGTGCCCTGGGGCACCCCACGGTGGGGGCTGGGTGGTGGTAACGGTGGTGGGGTCAAGCAGCGCCCGGACGCCTGGGTCCTCTCTGGCCCGCAGCGCATCAAGGAGGGCAGCGTCATCGACCGCATCGCCGTCATCGGCGTGGGTGACATGATCGAGGCCATCAACGGGCAGAGCCTGGTGGGCGCCCGTCACTACGAGGTGGCCAAGATGCTCAAGGAGCTGCCCAAGGGCCGCACCTTCGCCCTCAAGCTCACCGAGCCCCGCAAGGCCTTCGGTGAGCCCTGGCCTGGGTGGGTGGTGGTGGTGGTGGTGGTGGGGGTCCCTGGGGCCACCCTAAGGTGTCCCTACTCCCTCGTCACCCTTGGGTTTGCATGGGAGGGACCCAGGCATCTGGGACCCTGTGATGTCACTGGGACTCCCTTTGGGGCTGGAGGAGACGTGGAAATGGGGGTCCCCAATCCCAAGGGGGGGCACAACAGGGACCCTATAGCCCTGGCAGGGGACACGGGGGGTCCCTAATCCCAAGGGGGAGGGGTACGCTAGGGACCCCATCGCTCTGGGGTGAAGGACATGGGGGTCCCCAAACCCCTGGGGAGGGGCACACCAGGGATCCCATCGCCCTGGGGTGCGGGGCATGGGGCTCCCCAATCCTGGGGGGGGCACACTGGGGACCCCATC